GGCCAGTAGGTGAGTCTCACATGCCCCGCGGACACAGCCTCAGCTTCCAGGCTGTGCTGGCACCGGCACCCACCAGGGCGTGGACCTACAGGTGCCGATTCCACTGGGCCCAGACCCGGGACACAAGGGAAGAGGGGCAGCCCCGAACACCCCAAAGCGGGACTGCAGCCTCGCGCTCCGCCTCTGCGCCCGTCCAGTAACCCGCGGTCCAACCTCTCCTCCCCACCGGTGATAAGCCCTCGGCCCCGCAGACTCCCCGACCCGACCCGAGGCCCTGGCACCGGCCCGGGCACCGGCCCTGGGGCAGAGCCGGGAGAGTTAACCCAACTGCCTCCCCGCGGTTCCGGGGGTCAGGTCGCCGGGAGCCCCTCCCATTGGTCGCGGAGCCGGCGCGGCGCTGATTGGCTGGGGCTCTCCCAGGCTCCCCATTGGACGCTGCGCGCCGCGACTGGAGGTGGCGGTCCCGCCTCTGCAGGTTACCGGGGGCAGCGGCTGCGACTCTCGCAGCTCCCGGGGGTCGCTCAGCCCCGGCCTGAGTCCCGACTTACTTCCTCGATCCGGATCTCGTGGCTCTCCCGGGACGTCAGCGGATCTCCTCCCGGATCCTTTTCCTCCATAACCTGCTGGGGTTATTTTTCTTCCTCCCCGGCTTCCAGCTCCCAGCCCCGCGTTTCCCTTCCCTGCTCCCGGGCCCCCAGTAGCCGGCCGTTCTCAGCATCCCACCTGCCATCGTCCTATCCTCCTGGCTTCTGCCCCTTCTTGATCTCAACTCCTTTGACCAACTGAGCCCTATCATAACCTTCTCGCCAAACTCTCCTAAACTCCTCTTTCTTCTCTCTTTGCCAGCTCCTGACTTCCAAATTCCAGCTATCCTTGCCCTGACATTTGACCCTGACACTTGGCTCCAGAACGCTCCATTCCTACCTCCTGCAGCCTGTTGAAACTGAGGTCTTTCCTGATTTCTGACCTCGTTTCGGAAGCTCGTTTTGACTTTCTTACTCCTGGGCCAGTTCTCGCTACCACTGCCCCACCATGGACTTCTTGATGAGTGGCCTGGCAGCCTGCGGGGCCTGTTTGTTCACCAACCCCCTGGAGGTGGTGAAGACGAGGATGCAGTTACAGGGAGAACTGCAGGCCCCCGGCTCCTACCAGCGGCACTACCGAAACGTCTTCCATGCCTTCATCACCATCGGCAAGGTGGACGGCCTGGCTGCCCTGCAGAAGGGCCTGGCCCCTGCCCTCCTGTACCAGTTCCTGATGAATGGCATCCGGCTGGGCACCTATGGGCTGGCTGAGGCTAAGGGCTACCTGCACACAACTGAAGGCACCCACAGTCCTATCCGAAGCGCAGCAGCTGGAGCGTTGGCTGGGGTCCTGGGAGCCTACTTGGGGAGCCCTATCTACATGGTGAGAAGAAGGGTCTTGCCTGGGGCCTTCAAGGCAGACATTTGGTATAGGGTGGGGACCTGGGCCTTCCTTCATAATCTGATACTGAGGTTGGAAGTGGACTTGTGTAGGGGAGGGTGAGGAATTGAAGTAACGTACCTCAGTAAGTGTGAGGACCAGGGGAAGTCCTGGATATCACAGAATTACAGTCTCACAGTCGGCCATCTGGTATAGGTGAAGGGTCTATAGCCTGAGGCCCAGAGAAGGGAGGTGACCAGCTCAAGGTCACACAGCTGCTTATTGCCAGGACTAGGTCCTGCTTTGTGCTCCTCCTGGAAAGACCGAAAGGCAGGGTATGAGATTCAGGACAGTGGCCTCTCCAAAGTAAGCTGAGCACATGCCCCCATGAGGCTTTGGGGTCAGAGAGCAAGTTTTGTTCATGATCTCCCAACCTACCCCAGAGTCTGATGGGGAAGCCTGGTCGTGCTGGTAGCTGGAGATCCCGTTTGGGAATAGGAGCTGGCATGAGAGACTAGACTCCCAGGTCTTGCCTAAGATGAATAGCCTTAGGAAATATTGCCATTCTTCAATCTCTCCATTTCCCCTCCACCCCCGGCCCACAAGGGAAGGAAGAAGTAGAGGGGTGGAGTGTCTGTGGTGCTAGGAGATCCATCACCCCAGGGGACTGGAGCCAAGAGACAGAATCTCATGACCAATTTGTTAAAGGAAAACAACAATAATTATCAGGTCAAAAGGATATTCATTGTTGAACACCCCCAGTGGTTCTCAACCTTCCTAATGCCGCGACCCTTTAATACAGTTCCTCATGTTGTGGTGACCCCCAACCATAAAATTATTTTCGTTGCTACTTCATAACTGTAATGTTGCTACTGTTATGAATCATAATGTAAATATCTGATATGCAGGATGTATTTTCATTGTTCACGACCCACAGGTTGAGAACCGCTGCGAGGAAGTGTGAGGGGTTCAGGCGCTTGGGTCTCTGGGGTGAAAGAATGGTCACTGGGCCATAGGTTGTGATACTCTCTCGTCCCCAGGTGAAGACACACCTACAAGCACAGGCAGCCTCAGAAATTGCTGTCGGGCACCAGTATAAGCATCAGGTAAGATGTTCCCAGCCCCGCTGGAGTCTCTGCCATTCTCTCCCATCAGCCCCAGCTTTCTGTCTGCACCCAACAACTCCAACCCAGCCAAGGCTCTGCTCAGCCAATCAGTTCAGCCTCACTCTGCCCCCAACGTCCACCCAGGCCCTCTTTCCCACCCGTTCCCCAGTTCCTCTAGTCCTCTGCACCTGTTTCTCCTGCCCTGTTCTCCTGGTCTGCTAATGTCCTCACTTCCATACGCCCTAGTCTGGGATGGCAAGGGAGGGAACAACGAGGTGGTAGACAACGGAAGGGCCACATTCTGGTGTTAAGCTCACACACAACTGGTTGTCCAGACATCAGATGCCTGTTAAGGACCCATCCTTAGCAGTGTTAGGAGATGGCAGCCCCTGATGCCAGGGTGACTAAACCCCACCTCATGGTCTTCCCCCTCCCAGGGCATGTTTCAGGCGCTAACCGAGATTGGCCAGAAACATGGTCTGGTGGGGTTGTGGCGTGGGGCCGTGGGCGGCCTTCCCCGAGTTATCGCCGGTTCCTCCACCCAGCTGTGCACCTTCTCATCCACCAAGGACCTTATAACCCAGTGGGAGGTACTGCCTGGGCAATGGGTGGGGCCGCCCTGGGAAATGTGGGCAGGGGGGAGTCCATGCTGAACTGAGCCCTAGAGGGGTGAGGGAGTGGCAGGATGGCTTGGGGTCAGCTGCTACACCAAGCATGTCAAACTCAAAGGCTAACAGGCCAAATAAACAAGATGTAAGTTTATGTGGCCGCAAAAAAAAAAAACAAAAGCTTCAGTTTTCATAGAAACGTAGGTTTATTTCGATAGAGACATGCTGAATACAAAGGGTTGAAATAAATGAGTCATCGTTAACATAAAATAATAGAACATTTTAATAAAAATTAATATTTTTTCTTGAACATTAACTTACCACTGAATAACTGCACAAATAAACAAATAAACCTATTTTTCTTGTTCTTCTGAAAGTGAAATATTT